GCCTAGATCTAGGCTATAACGGTGAACGCGCACCGGGTGAGAATAGCCAAAAGACTCGCCTGCACTATTCTCACCCCGGGTGAGAATAGAGGTGGCCCTTTTCTTTACAAAGGATAATATATAGTAGGGCCGGGCAGTGGGCAACGGTATGGGAGGGATATATATATATATATAAATCTAGATCTAGACTAGATCTATGCAAAAAAAAAGGGTGAAGGTGGTGTGACGGGCCTGGGGAAGTAAGATGGAGAAAGAAGAAGTAAGAGAAAGAGAGAGAGGAAAAGTAAGAGAAGAGAAAGGGGAGGGGAGGGGGGGCTGTCTCATAAGGACTGATTATGACTTTTATGTTTTGATCCTTTTGTAGTCGTGAAACGCACTGTAATAGCCTACCAGTAGTTTAAAGTCCGAATAGCAACGGAAGACTATTCGGACTCAAGGATAGACCTCGCTTACGGTACAACCGGTGATTGCGCACGCACACTGGAATTTGAGTCCGATTAGTCTCGTCTCCAGCGGCTGTTTGGACTCGAGTCCGAATAGCCACTTCGTACACATTATTAGGAAGGACTTCCGTAACAAGCGACCACCCGAATAAACAATGAAGAAGAGGCCGAACCCTAACCCTACCCCTACCCCTAGCCTTCTTCTATTATACTCAAGTCCTCCCCATTAATATTTTGATTATAAATGTCAAATTATGGAAGGGTTATATTATAATTATATGGAAATGTTACATCACTAATAAATGAACAAAATATAACTCGTTCTAATAACTTGTTGGTGGTCAGAGTCGATATATGGTAATGGGAGGAAGTTTCTGAATAAAAGACAAATTTAAAAGTTCAAGCTAGACGTAGTAGCAAGGGAACCAGGAAAAAAAATTATGTCTTAAACAGGGGAATTTAGGGGGAGATGGAAGTGGGGGGTGTTCAGAGGCCCAGCTGGTGGGATCAAGGGTCGCTTGTCTCGTCGACGAAAAGTGATCAGAACTTCACACCTCTAATGTGTGCTTCTCCTTTCTGATGAGATGTCATTCGGCATTCCTTCTCATCCAGTGCTTGCATTTCAATTTCATAGAACCAATGTTTTCTATTAAAAAACAAATGTTTGAACATCTCCATTATTTCCACCCTTTGGTGCAGTCAACAAATGCCACCCTTCCTGTACCTGTAACAATAACGATTCGAGGAGCTCTTTTCTCGGCTGGCGATATGATCAGGGAGGCAGGCATTGACATTGGTCAAACTAATGCTGTCAAGGAAAGTTTCCGTGCTGGAGTGCCACTGGAGCACTTTCACAGGCACTGGTAAGATTTCACACCCGTGCCAACCTGACCATCTGCACCGCTAAGGGCCCCCATGGATGGGGTAACATCTACCCCTAATTGTGCCTCATCTTTTTTCAAATCAGGGCTGAGTGGGCAAAGCATTTCCCTCTAAGACGGGTAAAAACGGGTTTCCGTTTTATAGAGGAATTGAACTAGAGGGAGTGTGGAGATTCCATAGTGACAGGTTTCCATTGGGCAAGTTCGGCAGTATAAAGTCAGATGTTCAAAATTCAAGACTCAACTTCAGGGTTTTAGGATGTCGTGAAGTTGAGAAATCCTCATTGATTCTCAATGGATCTGCATATTTTAATGGAAGTTGGACATTATTCAGCAGAACTACAGTTAAGGAGATTCATTTTCATGGTCGTGGAATCACCCATCCCCTGCCATATCAGAACTACATTTTGTTCTAATTTCTTGTCCTTCTGTACCCCTTCAAAAGTGTGATGGACTGTTTTGGTATTATAGTGGAATAAATCTTGTAAGGTTTTGATTGACTTTATAAAAAGTTTTGAGGAAAAGTAGGAAAATTGAATTGTCTATTATGTGGGAACTTTTCTAGTGTTCTTTCGATGCTCTGTCACGGAAATTTACATTTTAAAAAGTTCAATATAGAGAATAGATCAGATGGCAAATGGACAGTACCAGGCACCATCATTGCCATGCATTATAAACTCATTGACTTGAGGTAACTTTAAATCGAAAGGAAAATAGAAAAGTGTTCAGTACAGACACTGGCAATTTGACAAAAATGAAGGAATACACACTTATTCATCATAATATCAATAAAAGGTTTTAAAAGATAAATATTTATATAATTTATTATATATATAGATAGAGAGAGAGAGAGAGAGATCTTTCTGTACCATCTCGAGACAGAATCGCAAAGCAGTCAGAAAAAAAATTCTGTGAAAGACATTTTCTGTCTTGGACAGGGGGATTTAGGGGGAAGGGGGTTCTAGAGGGCCTGCTGTTTTGGGGAAAAAAATGTGTTAATAAAATGTTTTACTTTGCGATCAACACAGTTTGAATCATTTTAAATTTAGGTTGTGGGCTTAGAACCTGCCTGTCATGGCCACCCTGGCTGAGTATACAACATCCCAACAGTAAACCGATAATATTCAGTTAAATCTCCCAACAGAAGAATCAAACTTTGATCCTTCTGCATGCAATGGCAAAGCGCTTTTAGACCACTCCTGCTACAACACAGATTGGTCGGTTGGATTTTAAAGGATTGTTTGTCCGGTCAACAAGCAGTGGTCAAAACTTCACATTTCCCAAGCCCAAGTGTCTTTGTCGCTCTGATTTTGGCATGTGTCAATTAATCCATTGCCACCACAATGCTTGCATCTCATTTATAAGCACCACTGTTTAAACAATTAAAAACAAAAGACGTCGAATGTCTCCTTTGCTTTCACTCTTAGACCCCACCCATCAATGATCATTGATGTAGTACACTCAACTAATGCCACCCTTCCTCCGCAGGTAACATTTAATGATCCGGAGAACTTTTTTGTCCAATGTCTTAGTTGAAGCTCCCAGTATTTGAAATGGTACATGAGTGTATACATATTCTTATATTATGGAGTAACAGAGTAAACTAACAAAAGTGGGATTCATTTTACTAACGTCTATCAGGTTGGGATTGGGTGGCAGAGTTGTGATGGTGCTCATGAAATACAGGGTACAGGAAGTAAAAAAAGAACAGACTTGTTCCAAAATAAAAAGCTTTTCCCAAGACTAGTTGGTGTGAATAATTAAACAGAGTGCCATGACTTTGAACATTACATCTGACCGGTTGAAATACGGTCATGCACTTCGGTAAGAAAATAATGGTGCCATGCAAATGTGTTCCAGTGTGGTTTAATGAAAAATTAACATCCAGCCAATTTTGAGTTGTTTTTTTGTAAGTGTTTTATGGCTCCCGCAACTGCTCGCGGGACACATTAAACATTTTCAGTTGGTAGGAAATTTTTTATTTTGCCAGAGTGGCGGTCGGAGCCTACTCTTATCGATTTGTGACCTCCAAAGGATCTTTAACGTGAGCAACTTGCGCACGGGACCACTGAAAAGGCTTACTGTACTGTTAATCTGTTAGATTTTTCATACCATAAGATCAGGGGTGTGGCTGAAAGACAGCAGTAAGGAGCCAAAGAGTAGTAGTTAGCAGAAAGGCTGCTGAAAGAGTGTAAGGAGCCCAGAGGAGGGGGCAAAGGAGTTGAGGGGATGGAGGCAGAAAGTGGAGATGAAAGCTGATGACAGAACATTGTTAGAGAGCGTGAAAGGAGAACAACTTTTCGTTTGTGTCCGGATTTAAACGAGAACCCTTACGTTCTTGCTGTCATATATATATATAAGTATTATACAACAGAGAAGTTGAAATGTTTAAGATCAAGTATGGAAAGAGGGTAAAATGATTTTGTTCTTCTTAAATATATTCTCATGTTTTTTGGATAATATTGTTTAGCTAAAGAAATGACCCTTTTCTCATACGTTTTCTGTGCAGGTCCATCTAGAGAGAGTGCTTGGAGTAACAGTCTCTTCCAATGCTGGATTATCTTGTGATTCAAACAATGGAACTATTGCCTATCCTGCAGGGTAAGTCTTTCCTCTTTGTTAGTTCAGGAATCGATTTATGTCAATCTTTAAACAAATGGTGATTGTCAGAAATCTTGCCTGTTTATGTTTATTTCTTAAAAAGATGATAATGCCGGGTGTGCTCTGCTCCTTCTGCTTTATTTTCAGTATTTTTCCCTGCTTCCGGGTGAAAATGTAGTCGTTGTTTACCATTCATCTTTATCAGCAAACTAGAACGCTGTGACTGTGTAACACTAGTTCAAAGATATATAAATTAAAATATATATAGCACCATGTATTTTATAATACCTTCTTTTTGTCTGTTAAGTTTAATCTCAGGGCGACTTGACCCACCACAGTGTTTATTTTACTGATAAATTTCACATTACAAAATGGAAAGATGTTTGCAGTAAACATTGTGTAGCTGCAGCCATATTTGTCATGCTTTTATGTCACATTTTTTTCCTAAATGGCAGTCTGTCTAACTTGCCGCCTAGCCCTTCTGAATTCTTACTAGGTTGCTTCTCCTGACCCCATCTTTTTCCATGTAATTAAGACAGTGATGCACTGAAGTCAATATATATCTGTCATAAAAGCTTACACGCAGTGTAAAATTACGGGTGGTTAGAGGAGGGCGCCACGAGTAGGTCGTACACATTTTCTCCCTGTATTGTTTCAGTCTGTCTGCTTTACTTTTTCCCAACACTGAAAGTTTTTTTAAAGCCGTTATTGTATCAGTGCGGTTATGTTTACTCAAACTTAAAATCATGCAGTTAAAAAGAATGAGAATGATATTCTTGTCTTTGTCCTCGCCTAATATTCTCCGACTTAACTTTCTCTTCGTTCCTTTTGATAAGTTACTCTTCTTAGCATTTGATATCTCGCATTTTACCGACAGCACGTTTCATCGTGAACTGAGGTTCTATTTTTATAGATAGAGTTGCTCACAGAGAATTAAAAATTACCGGTACATTGTATGCATGAAGAAATGAAGTCGTATTTCAAATAAGTTTTATTAAGTGAAACACTCATGGTTGTTCGCTGGAAGGATGTTGTCCCGGTGGAGTCAGTGAAATGGGTAGTAATCAAGGACCATACCGTACCTCCTTGGTAGTAATTCAGTCCTGTATTGAGGCTTTTTCGTTTGTTTGTTTTTTTTTCTTTTCTAAGAAGTCCGTTGGCAGATATGCATGCTTCGCCTTGGACATTGCCGGGCCTTTAGAGCTCATGAGGCTTTAGTGAGTGACATTCCAGGCTGTTGCTTTTCTTTGTATTCTGAGCCTTCTCTGAATCTCGGCGGTGTCCACTTCGATTTGAAGTTTCGTAAAAGAGAGAGAGGGGAGAGAGAGAGAGAGAGAGGGAGAGAGAGAGAGAGAGAGAGAGAATTATATTAACGGTAACTTGATGATCATTCGTGCGAGAATGTTGTTCCGCAACCGTTTTTCTTACCAGAGTATATCTGGTTCTCTTGTTAACGAGTTTAAGGCGGCGGTTTGTCAACAAAAACTGTGATGAGGTACATCCCTTTTTTAGTGCTACCGTTAAATCTTCATTTTAAGCCTTTAGAGGGGAATTATTAAAATTTAATAAAAGCAAACAGCAAACAAAACCACTGTATAATTGTATAATACACAACCTGTCCCTTTCTTTATTCTATGGTAACACAACTGACCTGGCTAGGGTCAATTGACAGGGTGGTTGATGAGCTAAGCAGGCGAAGTAGGGAGCTTGGTGCATCAAAGGATGCCCCAATGTCAGTGAAGAGACACATCCCGCTGGATGGTCTAATATTAGGACAGGGACGAATCATCGCAGTAATCAGTCATCTTCCATCTCTCTTCTCTCTCTCTCTCTCTCTCTCTCTCTCTCTCTCTCTCTCTCTCTCTCTTCTCTCTCTCTCTCTTCTCTCTCTCTCTTTCTCTCTCTCTAACTTTCTCTCTCACCTCACTCTT